CACACACACACACACACACACACACACACACACACGGCTCAGTTTTCAGCCAAACAGGAACAGGAACAATGACACTAGCGAGATAATCAAACCTTAGAAAAATCCACCATCTGAAATCTACAGGGTACCCAAGGGCAAAGTTCAGAAGGGTTAGGAATGGAAACAGGAAGTAGGCATTGCAACCAATGACATGAAACAAAATGTGTATGAACTGTTAAATGGAAAACTCATCTGCTCGGCAAGCCAATAAAATCAAGTCACAATAAAATTTTCTAAGAAAAAAATAATAAAAAGATCATGAAGGTTGGTTTCAAATATCCCATCATTTGCTCTATCTTTCTCCTCTGGCAACTAAACTGATTTTTTAAAGCGACTAGCATGTGGCGCTGTGGGTTAATGCGCTGGACTACACAGTCGGTTTGAATCACAAGCTCACTAGCTGCTCCTCAAAACCCTATACAGGGTCACTATGGGTCAGAACCGACTCGAGAGCACTTCACAACAACAACAGCATAGTGGGTTACGAGTTGGGTTGCTAATCGCAATGTCAGCAGTTCGAATCCACTAGCTAGCTGCTCCATGGGAGACAGAGGAGGGTTTCTGCTCTCCTAAAGATTTACAGCCTCGGAAACCCTGTACTGGATGGCTATGAGTCGGAATCGACTCCACGGCACATAACCACCAGCACCACCCTGGAGTGGGAGTGGAGGGAATGGGTCGGAGGACCTGGGGCCCGAGGGCGTGTCGCGCTCCCTTACCTTCAGCACTGAGACCTCGAGCATCTTCCCGGAAGTTTCCTGCGGGGTGTACAGACCGACTGCCTCTGGCTTTTCCCTCCTCTAATCGCCCGAATGAACTGGGGCAGAAACGGAGTAGCTTCCAGGGCAGTCAGCACAGCCTGGCGAATTTGGCGACTCCAACCTCCTCTCCCGAAAGCTAAGACGCCGACACGTGAGCGCCCAGCTGCAGACTCTAGACCACCAGTCCGCCTCGCCTCCCACGCGCCACGCACTCCGTCCCCCAACCTCGACGCCACGTCCACGTGCGTCCACAACGGCCCCGCCCCAGCGCAAGCGTCGAGGTTTCCAGAAAGCACGTGGGGTGCCCAACGGCCCGACAACGGCCAGTCCGCGCACAGCGCCCCCGTGTGGCCGGGAGGAGCAGAGGCTTGGGAAAGGAAACAGGGGCCCCCAGAGCTCTGGGGTGGCGCTGTAGGATCAGCTCTGGACTGCTAACCAGTAGATCAGCAGTTCAAACCCACCTGCGGCTTTTGGTAACCCTATACAGGGTCTCTATGAGTTGGGCCTGACTCCACGGCATGCAACAAGAGGCTCACATAATACCGGCTTTTGAAACAAAAGTCTACAGTCTCAATGGGCAGTACCAAGTGGGGTTTTTTTTGGTTCCCGGCCCCACTGTCTTACTCACTGGGATGGCGGATTGACTCTCTGCCCAATCAGCTCATCATTATTATTTTCGACTGTCCGGACTCTGTCCTCAGTCTCTCTTTTGGTCAGTTTCCAATCCCTCTGGAGCTCAGGGATTGTTGGGTTGTTGTTACTGTGTGCTGGTGAATAAATTTCACCTCATAGGGACTCTATGTTGTTGTTGAGTGCGGTCGAGCTGGTTCCGCCTCATAATGACCCAGGGATTCAAGGACTGAGTAAAACTACTCCCATAGGGTTCCCAGGCAATCATCTTTATGGGAAGCAGATCGCCAGGTCTTTCTCCTGCTTCATGGCTGAGTGCTTAACCACGGCACCACCAGGACTGCTTCCGGGTTGTTATTCTTCGTGTTGTTAGGTGCTGTCCGTCATTTCTGATTCATAGCAACCGTATGTACAACAAAGCAAAACACTGCCGGGTCCTGAGTCATCCTCATATTCACTGCTATGTTTGAACCTCTCTATCCACTGTGTCAATGAGGGTCTTCCTCTTTTTCGATGGCCTGCAACTGAATCCTGGTGTGGCACTGTAGAATGAGCACTGGATTGCAAGTCGGTCTGAATCACAAGGTCGATGGTTCAAACTCACCAGGCACTCCTTGGAAACCCTAGACAGGGGCGACTGTGAGTCAGAACGGACTCAACAGCACTTCACAACAATTACTTTACCAACGGAGAGTAGTGACCCTTTGGACTGCAAACCACAAGGTGGGTGGTTCGCCCACCAGCCTCCTCAGGAAAATGATGAAATTTTCTGCTCCAGCAAAGATGCACAGTCTCAGAAACCCTATACTGGGAAGCGATGAATCTGTACTGACTAGATGGCACTTAACAAAAACTTGAGGGACTGGAGAACTCAAGTACAAGAAACAAAGTCTTGCCATTGTCTTTTCTAAGGAACATTCTGGCCGTACTTCTTCCAACACAGAATTATTTGTTCAATCTTTGGGAGACCATGGTATATTTTTTGCCAATACCATAATTAAAAAAACCATCAATTCTTCAATCATCCATATTCATTGCATAACTTTCACAAGCATATGAGTAAAATGAAAATACCATGGCTTGGGTCAGGCACACTTTAGTCCTTAAAATGATATCTTTGCTTTTGAACACAGGTGTTATTGTTTTGTTTATTTTTCGGTAACAGTAGCAGATTTGCCCAATGCAATATGTCATTTGATTTCTTGATTGCTGCTTCCATGAGTATTAATTGTGACTCTAAGTAAAATGAAATCTTTGATAACTTCAATCTTTTCTCTGTTTACCATGATGTTATCTATCTATTGGGACAGTTGTAAGGATTTTTGTTTTATATTGAGGTGTAATCCACGTTGAAGGCTATAGTCCTTGATCCTCATCCGTCAGTATTTCAAGTCTCATTTGCTTTCAGCAAGCAAGGCTTTGTTATCTGGATATCTGGATTGGAGGAAGACTCATTAACAACCTGTAGTATGTTAATGAGTCTTCCTCCAATCCCGATATCCAGCTATTTTACATAATCTGGCTTCTTTTGCTCAACATACAGATTGCATAAGTATGGTGAAAGAATCCAACCCTGACACACACCTTTCCTGATTTTAAACCACATATCATCTCATTGTCCTGTTAGAACAACTAACTGCCTCTTGGTCTATGTACACATTCCACATGAGCACAAATAAGTGTTCTGGAATTCCCATTCTTTGCAATGTTATCTGTAAATTGTTATGCTCCACACAGTTGAATGCCTTTGCATAGTCAATAAAATACAGGTAAACATCTTTCTGACATTCTCTGCTTTCAGCCAAGCTCCATCTAACGTCAGCAATGATATTCCTCGTTCCACAGCCTTTTCTGAATTCAGTTCACATTTCTGGCAGTTCTCTTCTTATGCAAAGCTTCAACTTTTTAAATTAATCTTCAGCAAAATTTTACTGGTGTGTGATATTGATGTTGTTTGACATTTTCCTCATTTTATTATATCACCTTTCCTTGGAATGGGCACAAATACGGATCTTTTCCAATCTGTCTGCCAGATCTTCAAATTTCTTGACATAGACCAGTGAGCATTTCCAGCATTGCATCTGTTTGTTGAAATAACTCAATTTCATCCATTCCTAGAGACTCATTTGTCACCAATGACTTCTGTGCAGCTTGGACTTCAATATTTTGCCCATTGTTGTTGTTGCTGTTGTCAGGTGCCATCGAGTCGGAACCAACTCATAGCAACCCCATGCACAGCAGAACAAAACAATGTCCGATCCTGGGCAACCTCACTACCGCTGTCACACTTGACACCATCAGTGATGCCACCTGGCTGATCCATCTCGTTCGGGGTCTTCCTCTTTTTCTCTGACCCTCCATCTTACCCAGCATGACATCCTTCTCCAGCGACTGTTCCCTC